CTATGTACATACTTTAAAGTACCTACACTGTTTTATCATTTTGGTTTATCTTTACGACTTGGATGCATTCTTATAAAACCGCATATTTAGGGCTATGTATAGCACTACTTTAGTATTATCAAGATTTGGTATTTTACTGGTAGGAGTAGGTAGGGCGGTTCTCAGCAGGGATGTCATCATCTCATGAAAAATATTTACAGTTTTACCGTGTTTAAAAATAGATTGAAAACATTTTTATTGGATAAGTGTTATTAGTCCGTAAATTTACTTAATTATTACAAAATGACCATAAAGATTTTATTAAAAAATCGAAATCACAAGGTAGCTGAGATTATTTTATAGTTTTTAACCCTAAAAGAAGCATATGCAGTACAGAAGACGACTTTTGCTAGAGAATTGTTATTTATTTTGTCTTCCGTCTTTGTTCATGTAGTGTCATGTAGTATCCATTATTTGAACCCATTGTAGCTTCTTGTGATCACTTTGCGATATAAAGGAGTGTTGACAAGGTACATTCCTACTCTATCATCACACGGAGAATTAATACAATAATCCTAGGAAAATTATTTGTTCTTATTTTGATTATACATTTAATAAGATCAGACTGACTCACTTGATTACAAACTTTTTAAAATATATTTCTATACTCAGCTGTGGCTAGATTAAACATTAAAGTCGATTTTTGTTTTAATTAAGTTCTGAATCATATACTACTTATTGTCATGTATCAAAATGTACTCATGACTTCATTCCTTTGTAAGTAAATGGGATGAAAACCTTTGTATAAGTCAGAGGTTGAACATTCGCGACTTTATTCCCGAAAATTATTATATTATATATTTTAACTATTTTGTTGTAGACATTTTCTAACTAAGCCGTTACTTAACAACAGAACAACTGATTTACAATACACGGTATCCGGCCACGAATAAACCTGATCCTATTATATATTAAGAATAACGCAAATCTACGGGTCAGGTTCTTATAAAATTCATGTGGGACCTCATGAAAAGTAGTTTAGAAATAAAAAATTAACTACCAATATTGGTTAATGAAGACAATCATAAACATATAAAATGGACAGTCGAATTAAAAACCCGTTCCTTTTTAATATCGGTTAAAAAGCAAGGCTTGCCAGAATAAAGAACAAAGCATGATTACAGAAATGGACTTTACTGTACAATATAATCTGTGATCTATTATGATCATGATGTTATTTATATAGGGCGATAGTTATAGATATTACTTACTTACACTTGTTTATGCTTCTCTAAGACGTAATTATTTGTATCCGCATTCCTCCCCACTGAATTATAGTATCAATGTGGATTGAATGTGAATTTTCAATATTAATAATTATAATCTGATTCTTATTTATGCATTTTGCTAGATTGCACTGAAATAACGCCCTTTGCTTCTTTTTTTTTTAGCTTGTAAAATTGTATCATTTTACAAGCTAAAAAAAAAAGAAGCAAATATATATACTATAATAAATATTATAATAAACTAAATACCACACGAATATCAAATGAAATGTTAGGTGTCTAGAAAATTAAATTTCTATAAATACAAAAACAATAAAGTATATTTTCTAAGAAATTTTCCTTCCAATTAAGTCGACAGTTATACTACTCTATAGTACAAACCTATCTTTCAATTAATCGTTCCAGTGTCTTTGAAAATAACCGCTAGCTATGTGCTGGAAGTGTAAAAAGGCTGAAAATTATTACATTGATTTTTATTCGTGGATTTCCTTCTTTTTTAATTTTCAAATATTTATATAAATTCACATTCAATTCCAACTGAAGTCTCCAATATAAAAGTCAGTCAGTCTCTACTTTCAATAGACACAATCAACAATTATCATGGAATAGGCCTCCGTTATCACATATTCTCTTATCTTACTCTATCTTTGGCTTAGTTGTACATTGGATCACGTGATTATAATACTATAGCTTATACAATAACTAAAATATTGTTAATGTATATATTGTTAGAAACTTTTGTGACACATTTAAGTTCGTATTTCTGTAACATTTTTTGGTGTCTGTACACCAAAATTTGTTAGCTAGTTCATCGTCACCTAAAAATTTTATGTCTCTATTTATAAGTAGGTATTCTTGACTCTCCGGTAATAGAAATATCAATACAAAATTAGGTTAATCAATCCTAGATTCGCCACGTGCCACGTTGAATTCAAACATGTCAAGCCTTCCGAAGGTTCTCTTTTCCAGATTATTTACGCTGTTGATCGTATATATATTTCCACGGATCATGTACCCTCTATTCAGATAAGTCCAGTTCCAGCGTCCTTTAATTAAAGACCACAAGTATCGGATTTCCAGGGTCGCGCATATTAATTACCGACAATTGACTTGCTGATTGAAATATGGTTGTATTATAACTAATTCTCTGTACCACTAGTTATTATCAATGATCCACAACTAAATAAATTTATATACTACTCCTGAAACAATAAGAGTTAGCACCTGGCAGTTAGACATTAAAGAAAATCGATCAAGCTTTGACATAGCTGTAAAATAGCATATGGATGGTTTTTTTATTTATTCATTATATTTGTAATTAAATTAAAGGAAAATAACAGTATAGCAAGACGATGGCTCATCTGATAAAATAAAAAATATGTGGAAATACAGACAGCATCATAACACTATAGTTATCATCGATTGCATTTGATGTTTTATGTTTTAACTGTTCCTTCAACCTGAGTATTGTATGTATTGAAAGTATATATTTAAAAACGAAACTTTTTCTAGTGCCAAATGGTATGGCACCAGAAAACGTTTCGTTTTTAAAAAATATATTCTGAGATGCTAGTATCTATGTTATTTTTAGTTTATGCCAATCTTATTAACAAGTATAAGAAGTATTATCTCCTTTTTCCAGATTATTCTATTTTTGATTATATAACTGGAATGAGGCAAACTTTAGCGTTGTAAATTTTGTGAAATTGGAATTAAACGGCCCGCCTGATGGAGAGCGGTAACCATCATCTGTATCCGTGAACAGCACTGTCGTCACGTTTTAATGAGACACTGTGATACCACTCATGCGGTGTCATGCCAGCATTCATTTCACTGTTTAATCGTACCATACAACCAAAGGTCATCCTACAAAGCAAACTACCTGGAACTAGCTGGAATAGTTGATATTAAGTTGCCCACCCACGCAGGCGGACTTTTTCTCTCGACAGTACTGTCTACCTCGGATATTACTGTCTCGAGATCTGTACCTATGATACCACCAAACTGACCTACTTAAAGCTCCGTTTTGGAATCATTTTTGGGAGGCTGTAAATCCTAGGCATCCAGACTTCCCAGGGAGTGCCCTTTGACATTACTTAGCGTGGGCCTCGCGCACGCGTACCATAAACTCCGCCCTCTCCTCCCCCATCCCCGAGCTGAAGCTCTACACCCCCCGGCGTGGGCAGATGACGCAAAACTTAAGGGTCCTTGCCGATCATCGCATTCTATTTTTAGAACTGAACTTGCTTACTTCATAAAATATTAAATCTATGCAAATTACCTCCAAGCATCTTTAAAGAATCCTTTCTGAAAGAGGTTATCTTTCAGTCTCCGGTATTTCAGTATATCATATACATATACCTTTAAAATGTTTTAAAATATGTATGTTACATTTATGTATTATAGTTTGATGAAATGTTACTACGTAGTTATAATTGTTAACAATGATGCGCTGATTACTAATTTCTCAGTTTGCCTTATGGTTGACTTGTAGAGAAAGCTCTTTGGTGTTGAGATCACATATAAGTACATTTATGTATTGTATTTAAGCATTAAATAAATAAATATAAAATAAAAATATATATTCTGGGCAAAGATGACATTCTACCATCAACCTCCTTCTATTCCTACTACTATTATTATTTTTCTCTTAAGTAATTAATAACAACATTTAACAGTCAACATTTACATATACTGTAATAGGTAGTTACTAAAAAAATCCTATCGGTAACATGAAATTTCGCGTAGTACCTACATACATGTACGTCTGAAAACCTACTCGACATCCAATATTTTCAAATCTTTTGAATAAATTGAACCGTTCGTTCAAGTTCATGCGGTGAGCACACAATAGCGTACGTCACCATGTGAGTCAGGCTTGTTTTCCGCACTAGAGATCACCTCAAGGATTCTCATGTCGACAAACAGATCGGCCCGCTATTATGATCACGTACTACTGTTGCCATGTTCTATGTAACTTATTCAAACATTTGCTATTTGAAAGTTTGATCAACAATAAATTTACTTTAATTTTATCAAATCCTGTTGATTATGTACAATCTAATTTGCTGCAGGTCCCTTATTCCACTACAGTAGCATACAAGTTAATGATATCTCTTGTGATGGAAAGTAACTAACCAGTAACCGTAGACTATAGAAATGAATAGCACAATACATCAATATGTCACTTTCTTTTGTAGTAGTTTTATATATATATTTTGAGAATATTTTAAACATTTTTAAATTATATATACAAAAGGAATGATAAATATTTGATTCTAAGCACACATACTGAGGTTTGTTTCATATGCTGATAGCATAAATTAATATTATAATTGTGTTTTATATAATCAAATACACCCGATTAGTCTTAGATATAAAGTTAATAAATTTTCCAAAGACGCGTAGTGTAATATAAAAAAAGTTAAGCGTTTTTATAAACTGTACGGTTGCATAATCGATTTTACATCTATTTCAACCGTAAGTAGCTTGCTTTATAAGCTATGTTTTGATTAAAAGGAATTCATTAGAATCCCATACCTCAGGCAGTGAAATTACAAAGTATGGAGGCGTCATAGTTTTCCAAAATGGCATAGAAATATTTGACCATTACAATCACATAAAAAATGTAGGTACACTTAATAACACTTCTGACTACATCTAAGATTATATTCGATTATCTGCTTTATTACAGATAAGTAAGTCTTATTCTGAAATGTGCTTGTTTTATTTCAGGTCAGTTTCAGAGGAACTAATACGATGGAATCGAAGTAAATGAAAATACACGTGCTACCTGAAACACTTATTTACTGAAAACGGTGAGTTCGTTTTTATTATATATATTTAAATACTAATTATATCTGTGTTTATAACAGTCAAGGATAAATTTTATTCTTACATCAGCTTTGCCAGCGTATATTAGCCTGTATAGGTGACGGTGATCCATCAGATTGTTATTGCCTTTGCAATAAAATAAAGGAAAATATGAAGTAAAAAATATCTTACTAACATTATATACGTGAAAATAAGTTTTATTGTTAATTCACTGGCCCTTATGGTACAATCACATATAATTTGCTATTTAGGACACTATATCTCGATCACTTAAAATACTCAGGGTGCGACTAGGAACTACTATACATATAAAAAACAATATGTTAAAAGTGGTTTAATAGACAAAATTATTATTTTTTACCATTACATCTGCCTTTTTAAAATAAAATATAGACTAAATTTGCCCTCGATACAACCTTTCTTCAGGTAAAATATAGTATTCATTCAGCCGTTATGTTATGAAAAAGTAACAAACACACATAATAAAATATGGTACCGGAGAGGAGGGGAGATTTTATTATATAAATTTATCTAACATCCTGTGTTAGAATTATTCAAATTTACAATATATATTTGTACAGTCATAGTCAGAAAGTATATATACATAAGTATAGAGTATAGATGAGTATTCTACCTACGTTAACAGAAACTCATCATAGGTAGAATACTAAGGAGAGGGGACTATTAGTAATGAGGGTTTATAACCATGGGGTCTGACTGACTCACTTGACTTCATTTGCATCCTGCCATCGTTTACCGATGCCCCACGAGCCAATATATACAATAATGTTTCTAGCCCGACATATTTACTTTATTTTTAACGTATTTTTTTCTACTAATTATATGTTATAATATATACCTACACAGATGTAGGTAGTCAATTAATATTTAGGCCACGACTTCCTCCACGTTTACATTTGTAGAAGCTTTGCATTAATGATAATCAAACTATAAATAAAAATACATAAAGCATTTTATAAGATCACTTAAAGATTGGGTATTCATATTTTATAAAAAGTAATTATTATTTATCTTTTTCCTTTTTAAAAAAAATCTCTTGTGAAATAATATTATTATTTCACAGAATATGTGAGTCCTATACTCACATATTCTGTGAAATAATAATATTAATACGTGAAGCAAAAATGTTGTACCCCTTTTTACGACAATTGCGCGAACGATGGAGTATAAATTTCGGCCACTTATAATTTATTTAGAGAAGTAAAGTAGAATGCTAATCTTTTTTTTAATTATGCATAACAAATACATTAAACCAATAAACCAAACATTATATCTACGCTCTACCATGTATTTGACACACACTCTCATAGATTCACAATAGAACCTTAACAAAGTTCAAACTTATAATTTAACATAATTGTGGCCGAATGGGCGACCACTACTTCTAATTCCTTGTGAAACGTCGCGATTTTACTACTTTTATTATTATAAACAAATAAGTTTAAAGATTATCACATTTATTTTTATTATGTAATATTGGTGACGTGAAACAGATGCCGAATGTGTATTTTTTTCTTGTTTTATCACGATGTGAAGCTGTGGTGCCGTATCACGTCGTGCTGTTAGATAGTATTAGATTAGATATATTGATATATATCGTATCTCATCGACATCGACAGTATTATGTTAATACAATTGAACTGAGGTGTATACTTACAACATTACTGGTCATACCCTGTTATACTTAACTAATATAACAGAGTAATAAAGTAATTTATATCTGTGATTATGCTTAGAAAGTGTTGAAAGTACCTGGGTATTAAGACATAAATATATATTCACATATGTAGTAACTGCTATCGATAACATATATATAAGTTTTCAAAATATAGAAAATATTCAAGAGTGAATTGTAAGTAGATTAAAGAAGAATTTTCTAAACACGGAAGTAGGTATGTAATTGCTTAAGTTGCTCACGAAATTTTAACTTTTTATTAATTATATAATATAATATAATATAATATAATATAATATAATATAATATAATATAATATAATATAATATGTATATTATATTCGCGAGCGCGCGTCATGCACTTGACTCTTGGCTGCATATGTGTGCGTCTCAAGGTCAAGGTTACCACGTGGCGGGGGTACCGCCGGGCGGGGGGTGCAACATGGGACCCTCACCCGTCTCATTCTATAATTATTATTCATATAAAATGCTTCTACGTTGTGATCAGTTTTGTGCTAAATATTCGTATTGTGATTTAGGATTACATAGGTATCTACTGGAATAAATATTTGATGCTATTAGAAAAGTCAGGTAAAATTTAATAAATCTTCAATAAGTGCGATAACAAATTTATTTTCAAAGACTCAGATTATTATAGACACATAGACAAATAACATGGTTCTCACCGTTGCTGTAATATGTAATATCTTAATATATTTTAGTTCATTGTTCTATATTATATCGAAAAATAACATACTATAAAATGTACATTCACACAAAAAATAACTCTATATTCACACATCTCTTTTGCGTCGCGTCGTGGTGAATTTCAGTACAGAGGTAACGGTTAGTCTGTTATACTATATCTTTCAGTTGGCATAACAAAAACATATTTAAATATTATTAATTTTATTTACCAAATAAAATTAATAATATTTAAAACATATAATGAAAAATACCTACCTTAATTAGAATTTTAAATGTACCTACTATTTTTTATAACTACAAACTTGAGCATACTATCATATTATATTTATAGAAAAAGGTCTTAATTACACTTTACATTATTATATATTTATTTGCTACTTTACTGTTGTTCTTCAATGTGCATTAAACGACAATGTAGAGTCCTTTATACGTGTACGTCATTTAATAATACCACAGATAATACTAAAGTATAACTTATATATTATAGATGCTTAGATATTCTATGACAATAGGTAGGTAGGTATACTTAATCTATTCATACGTTAATACTATCTCTATATTATTATCATTATTTCCACTGATATAAGCGCTTCTTTATTCGGAATTAATTATGGAAGGTCATGAAAATTTTAGTGTTTCAGTAGATCGTAAAATTTTTAATTCAATGTCATTTTTTCTTGTGCTATTCTAAAATTTCTTGCTAGCTTCGTGATTTTATTTCAGTATATAGAGTCTGTTGCTCCGTCCGTAAAGATATTACTTTGCTAGTGTATTTTAAACCCACAAAAATGTGAATCAAAACTGTTAATAGTATATATATTGTTATCTTCTATATTATTTGTAATTTGCCGTTTGACCAGTTGTCTTATATATATATTTTTATTGTAAATTTAATGTTACAAATAATGAAGATAGTCTGAAAGATATCTCTTCCAGCCAACCTAATACTGTGACAGAGGAGGTAGTTATCGGCAAGGGCATGAGTTTTGTAAAAACATAAATACAACTGATATAGACAATTCTTTTTTATAAAATATGTGTACTAAATATTTCTTAATAATTATAGCGATAGCAATTAAAAACGACGGATATAAAATTAATGAATGTGTCATCCTCTTCACTTTTTCATGAAACAGTGCCATCTGTTATTTAGTCACGTAACAGACAAGGCGAAGCGCGCGTGACTAAAGTAGCACGCGGCTACTTGCTGCAGTAAATACTAAATTTATCATATAGGTGGCTCTACTGAGCACATATATTAGAACAACATTTATTTCAATATTATTTTAATAAATAAGTAATCAGTATATATAAAAACCTATCTGGATTCAGGTATGGGATCTTAATTCACAATATACAAGAATATTATTTAATTAAAAAAATATAAAACCTCATAAACAACCTGCTTAGTCTCCGTACGGATGCAGTTGACTAATGCAACGTTATCTAGGTTTTAAAAGCATCAATAATTAACTATACACAAAGGAATATGCATTTATGTGTACCAGAGTACTATCAAATTGCTCATCTTAATTCTAAAGTTGTTCGGTAGAGATCACTTTTAATGATAGAGCTACTCATTGTGCTTACTTGTATGCACATATATAATTGACAAAAGCGCAGCTGTACTTTAATATTTCTAAACAATAAATAATATTATTCTAGGAAATGTTCTATAACGATGTCTATACTTAAATATTATACGTTTGAAGAACAAAACAAACATATAATCATCCATACATATACAAACTTTCACATTTATAACAAGTATTGATTATAACCGTGAAAGTTAATAAGTACCCAGTTACTCAATATTTGTTATTGGAAGTTTACAACAAAGACTTTTTATTCCTAATAACTAAAACCCCTACAAATCAATTTTAACTATTCTGGAAAGGAAGGGACTAAAGGGCAAAAGTACCTTTCTCTTAATAAAACACAAAAATTGCAAGTTCTATATTTGTTTTTCATCTGTATTTTTTAGGTAAAATTAGTATTCGAATTTACTATAAAATCTAAAACTTTTAAATATACTATATATTATTTGTATACTTGTATTGTAACAAAAGCCACGTAACTATAAAACATTTTTTCTGATTTGAGTAGTCACAAATTTTCTAGACTTTTATTACTTATTGTATTATATTAATGTACTTATAAAATAATTATAAAAATTGTACATGTATTACACAAACCTGTATTGCGACCTGTATTTTATTATTAATTAATTATTATGCTTCAGTAGACTTCTACTGAATAAAATAATTAATTAATCTCAATACATTATTAAAAAATCATATGTCACTCTACACTAGAATTTGTTTAAATATATGGTAATACTTGTTGATAGTGTACGAGGATTAAATCCTCAACCATGGGAAAGTGAGGCAGAGTATTTTAATGGCTACACCCTTTGTGTTCAATTCAGACAACAGATAATTTTATTAAAAGATTTATGGATTTCAAATTTTAATTAATTTTTCTAAAAAAATTCAAAAACTAATTTTGAATAACTGCAAAATACGTTACAAAATTTAATTAGTTTAAATCAATCTAGATATTAACCCATATATAATGAAAT